TGCATTACATACATTTCAGGTCCAGTCCTTTGAACCTCCCAATATCTCACGCCCCAGTCTGCAGAACAGAGATACCCTTGATTTTTCAACCTCCATCCTGTGAAATCATACAGCCTCTGCCCTGGTCCTTGATCACACCATGTAAATCTGTGTCCTGGCCCGATGTGTACACCAAATGTACAGGCACAGAAGCCTTCTGTAACAACAGTTCTCGGCCTCCATTGTAGAGTCGTGACAATGTCACAGCAAGTTTTGCTCACTCAGGATATTTGTGGGAACATCTGGGGGCCACAAATGTCACCCAGATGAAAATATACTGTATGGCACAATAGAATATATTCATACATAGGAAGGACAGCTCAGAATTTTGATATAAACTTGGATCATTCTTGTGGGCTATTTGTTATTCTCTCTTGCCCAGGTTTAAAGCTGGCATGTAAGAATTAGCACTGTTTATATGCAGAACTCCTCAGGCCACGTTGGCGTGTGTCACTTGTGGGGTTAACTTGCCATCAATCTAAACAGGGGGACCAGGATTTAGTGGTGAGAATGACTAATCTGTTTCCACCACAAATAACAGTGATTACACCCAGCTTCTTATTCAGCGTAGGCTCTTATGAGAGACCTTTTATTTTCTTGCTCATCTGGGTAGAACTTCTGGGGGCAAGCATTTGAAGAGCTGACAAAGCTTGCAGGAACCCATCAAGCAATATGGAAACGCCTCAAAATGTGTCCAATGTACATCAATCACAGCTGCTAAAAGAGGATGTTATCTCTCTCTCTCTCTCTCTCTCTCTCTCTCTCTTTTGAGACAACTTTCCATGCTGTCAGAAAAAAAATGAGAAAATAAAGCTGGAAGAACAAGAAGCAATTCTCCTAAAAGTAGAAACATTAAGATTCGCTTTAGACAGATCAAGTTTGAAATCATACCTGGCTTGGTGCCCCTAGATGCAGCTCTAAGGATGCAGCCAGTACTGAGCTGCTGCTCCCTATCGGGCGGGTGAAGAGGTCTATGCAGGACAGGTGTGCTGGGGCTGGGCCTCCGTGAGTGCTAGGACAGAGCTGCTCCTGGACTCATCTGCCCCATCTCCCACCTCTCTTGGCTGCATATCTGCCTCATCGTCTGGCACTGAAGTCCAGCACGTCCACGGAGTGGGCGCATTAGCACCCATCTCACATTAGAACCTCCTCTTTTCACTACCAGAGAGGAACTTGGAGTCACAATTTCTGTCCCTCAGCACTAAAAATATGCTTTTGAATAACTCATGAGTTGAAGAAGCAATAAAAAGGGAAGTCAGAGGGTATTTTGACCTAAATGAAGAAGGGAACGCAACATATCAGAATCTAGAATATCACTGAAGCAGTTCTTTGGAGGACATTTAGGACATGAATTTTCAACATTGGAAAAGAAAAAGAATCTCTCAAGGCCATCCATGTCCTTTTAAAAACTAGAAAAACAGCAAATTAAATCCCCCTTAAACAAAAGAAAGGATATACAAAGAACAGAAATAAATGAGATAGAAATAAGAAAAAAAAATCAAGGAAATCAAAAGGTGGTTCTTGAGACTATAAGTAATACTGGTAAAGTTCTAGCCAGAGCAATCAGGGAAAAAAATTGAGAAGACACAAATCTCCAATACCGGAAATGAGAGCAGTAATGTGGCTACAGATTAAACAGATTTCCAAAGAATAACACCAGGGTTTCATCCTCACCTGAGCCAGCTCATGGGTTCAGACTCCACGAGCGACAGGACATCTGGGTACCACCGTAGTCACTACCACATTTGCCACAGGAACTTCTCCTCCCAGCAAGAAACGTGGGCCATTTGCCTGGGTCAAACACTAATCCTCAGGAACCCAGAACACCAGAGGGCTCTGTCCCTTTCAATGATTGCATACAGTGACTAAAGAATAAATAATTCAAACCCAACTTTGCCTCTTGGCAGGCCCACAGAAGCTAGGCCCTTTCTGGGGATATTTCAATATTCTGAGTGTTTCATTCACCGGCTATAGCAAACAGGAAAGAGCAGGATGCCACATTCATTTCCTCTCACTGAGATATGACCTGTGTACTTCCATACTTGAGAATTATTTATATTTATTTACCCGAAATTACCTTGTTTTTCTAGTTTTTTGTCTCTTCCAACCAGAATACAAACTGCTTAGAAGCAAGAACCCCATCTAAATGAACCCTATTATGTTCCACAGATGGAAATTGTGTTTCCTATCTAGTGGACCTTCCAGTGTTTATAAATTCTGCTGGGATCAGGCAAGTGTTGTTAGAGCTGTCCCTCTCAATAGATACAGCAAATTGAAGGCAAAATTGCAATCCCAGAAGAATCAGAAATTAGGGCTACAAAGCCTGGAGCCCAACTTGCTATATCCTACTTCCTATCACACGTCCACTCAGCTCCCCAGTTTAGAACAAAAAGTGGGATTTGGAGAATATCAAAGACTTAATCAAGTAGTGACAAGGCAATCTCCAAATGCTGTGTTCTTTTTGAAATAAACACAGCCCCTACCACTTGGAAATAAACTACTGATCTGGAAAATGCATTTTTCTCCATTTTGACGAACAGGAAATACCAGAAGCAATTTGGTTTTGACAAATTGCTGACAGGATTAGTAGTCTATCTTCAAAGGTGCATCACTGAAATGGGGGAAGAAGGAAGGGGATTTAGCTCAGTGGTGCCACTGCCTGCCTCACAAGCACAAGGTCCTGAGTTCGATCCCCTGCACCAAAAAGAAAAAAAGAAATTGGGGAAGAACCCAGAGCCAGCGTTACCTGGGTTCAAATCCTGACTTTGCCACTTACTAGTGTGGCCTTAGGCAAATTACTTAACCTCTCTGAGCCTTCCCTTAACTGCAAAAGAGATAACCGTACCTATCTCAAACGAATATTATGAGTTAAATCAGTTTCATATTGTAAAGTGCTTCAAAGAGTGTCTGGCACACAGTTCAGTGCTGTATAAAGGCTAGTCGGCTGTAATTATAAACTATCTTTGTAGCTCCAGGATGAACTCAGGACATCAGGGTGCTTCTGATTCACTGTCCCTCAGGACACGGAGGTGCTGGCTCACCGTAGGTGATATCCTCAAGACGGGGTGCAGTCAGCAGTCACCTGTTCCCAGAACTGTAACTGTGTGATTCCTCTGTACTCTGGCACCCTCTCCTCAGAGCTTTTGGTCCCGTGAGGTTTCCGGCATCACCAGTATGACCTCCAAGCCCAAAGCTTGCGAGCCCTTCCTCGCACCAGCGGACAAGTGGAGAACGGAGGAGGAGGACCCACTCTAGGAGTGAGGGGTCGGTTATCACCATCAGACCAGTGACCATCCCCCTTACAACAGGGAGAGACCCAGACCCAGATTTGGCTGCCAGATGAGGTGTAGGAGGCAGCTTTGCTGCATCCTGAGCCGGCTCCACCCCGTCTATGCTCCCATCTGGCTCAACGGCATTCAACTTTTCTCTAACCTCGACTTACAATTTTCCAGGGAGGTCTCATGATTGAAAAAGAAGCACCCAAGGGGTTGTGACCTGCCTCCCCCTCAAGCACCATCCCATTGGACACCTGTAGCCTGCAGTCAGACGCAAGGCCGAGATGGAACCTTGGTTCTACCACTCCATTCTGGGCAGAAATCTGTCTCACCCACTTCCTAGGCTTTCTTCCTGCGAACCTTCCCACTGATTCCTTCTAGAGGGAGACACAGCCTCAAAGGGGGGATGCAGTGGAACCTCAGGCATCCTGGTTGAAAACCTGAGATAGCGGAGATATCCACCAGGGTCCAAGCACCACTGACTCTTTCTAAACCTCCAGTGTTGAGAGCCTGGAGTCAATGTCCCAACTCATGGTGCATCAGAGAACACGGCTAACAACTAGGACTCTTCGCTGATAACACCAAAAAATACAAGGTTATGCCAAAGCTAATCCTTACAGGAACTAAGCCTGGAATATGTGAGTTATACTCAGCCTCTTAGCAGATAAAGAAAGAGAGGCTGAGCTGGGAGCCCAGGAATAAATTGCTCTGACCACTAACACAGGAGAAACCACCAAATAACGCAGGAAGTATCCTCAACGACTGTCACCCCAGAGGACTTGGACAACCCGGTCTTCCACACAGCCCAAGGGCACATTGATGTAAGACTCAAAGAAATATGGAAACTTTTGTTGAGATCCAAAACCACGGGCCTCAGGATACGTACCGCCTGCTAGGGTCAGGAGGCTGCTTGTTTTGCTTTTCTCTATTATGTCCGTTCTTTCTATCCTCCCCAGCTGTCGCTCAGAACAAAGGTAACTTGACTTTTTCATTGGAGTAAAATAGGACAGCATTCTTCCTTCTTAAGGCAACAATTTTAAAAGCACCAGAGACGAGCCTTGCCAACAAGTCATGCCATGTATCTGAGGGAAGACTGAATTCCTGGGGCCCAGTGTTTTAAACTCATGACGCCCATCAGAAAGGAAGCATTTCTGGGCCAGGGATTTAGCTCAGTGGTTCCACCGCCTGCCTCGCAAGTGCAAGGTCCCGAGTTCAATCCCTGGTACCAAAGAAAAGAAAAAAAAAGAAAAAAGAAAGGAAGCACTTCTGGGAAACAGTAATGTGCAGAGTGGCCAGTGATCTTAACTGTTGATGTCCTGGGCCAGGGGTCAGGCTTACAAGCTTCTTAGTAAGAAATGACAGAACACTTTTAAGAACAAATGCGACCGAAGCACACACAAAGCTGTAGAAAATGCACAGTGCACTGAGGCAAGCTAGCCTCAGGAGCTGGCAAGTCCAAGCACTAGAGAGAGAGAGGCAGACCTGAGACTTCCACTTCTAAAAAAAGAAAGAAAAAGTCGTTTTAATGATCAGTACTTCTAAATTTCAGAGAGAAGTAACTACGCACAGTCTGGCACAGCAATGTGCCAAGTGGCCACAGCAGGAACAAGGCCATTTATCAAACTTCAATAACTCAGCCAGTCATTTTCACATTTCACTGACGTGATTTTATTAAAATGGCACATAGATCTCATACGTATAGTTTTTAAAAACTTCTTGTTTTCCTCTGGTATCAAAATAGCTATCTTTTTAAAATACCTTGTTAAAGCTTAATAGTAACTTTGTTATATATTAAATACTCTCCTAAAATAGCAACCATTTCTCTTCCATCTCTCCTAGAACCTTCTCTTACCATAACAATCACTTTTGTCTTTTATTGTCTCTGGTTTTGTTTTGGCATCTTTTACAATTATGCACAGGAGCACTAAAAGGAAAAGATTTTCCTTGTAAGTCCACTATTTAAAAACAAAGAAAGAAAAAGGAGAAGCTAGTGACAATATTCGACATGACACTGGTTTCTTTTAGCACGGGCACTCAGACCACAATGCTATTCAGTTCTTGCCTAGAAATAGTAATGTTGGTCCAACATCGCCCTCTAGTGGCAAGGCTATATCAAAGCATCCAACAATACAAGGTAAGTACAGTATTTGGATGTTGTTATTGGGACAGGAGGGGCTCAGAATCCAGTTATAAAGATCAAAAACTTTTTTTTCACAGATTACAAGACAGCTGGTCAGATTCCTGAAAATTCACTCTGAACACAGACTGCCCACAGCCACTCAATACAAATTCCCATCCCTTCCACGTCACACAGTACTGAAATGCTCCATCAGAAGCTGGACTCGGGTAAGGTTTTCTTTCGCCCTAAGGAAAGAGTGTGGTATTTTACCCTCTGCAAGGTGCCATATGAAGTTTTCTCCCCCGGAACACTTTTCTGTGAGAAGCCCGCGGCACTGGGTCTTGGGGGCCTGCCGGCCTTGCGGGAGAGGTGGAGGGAGCTGGGCGCAGACCGGACATCCCTGTCGAGGTGGCTGCCCAGGCCCCTGGCCAGGCCCTCGGGAATCTTGAGTGCAGGAGATGAGCCTGGAGCGTGTTTGTCCGCGGAGGGACTCAGCTGGCCACTCCCCAGGGAGCCCGGGGCCCTGTCCGGCTTCCTGTTCTCCTTCTTCAAAAACACAGACCTCAGCAGGGTGAATGTCCCCTGTGGAAGTCTGTCCCTCTCAGAGGCCCTGTCCTCCACCGCAGCCCTCACTTTGGGTAAGGTACCTTGGTCGCTGTCCTGACAATTTCTAGACAAACCTGCGGAGGGGGACGGTGGGCTGCTCTGGCTTCCCTTCCAGCCGGCGGTCTTCTGGCCCTCTGGGCGGGCTGGCTTCTCATTCCCAAGGGAGGGCATCACAGTGAGGGGCAGGTCAAACTTTTTGGGAAGCCTGATATCCTGACTTGCATTTTCCTTCCATGTCCTGGTTATGTTCAGAACACCAGAGTTTCCAGCGGCCGGGTAGTGGTTTGGGGGGCCTGAAGGACAGGGCACCCTGACTGGTCCCCTGCCATTAGCTTGGCCACTGTCTTCACCAGAGAGTGTGCTGTTTGACCTGAGAGACGCTGACTTCTCATCCCCACCGGCAGAGCCGGTCAGCAGCGGCACGATAGACTGGCTAGTGGACCGACGAGGTCTGCGTCTGGACTCCAGGTACTCCACCAACTCCACAGTTGCACCGGGTCTCTTCTCCCTGTGCCCAAAGGACCACCGGAGGGGCATGGTCTTGAAGGGCCCCTGCCTGGCTCCAGGTGCAGTGGGCGCCTTCATGCTAATGCTTCTGCGGCAGGCACTCCGAACCAGAGGCCTGGGCTCCAACCCTCCTGAAAGAGATGACACCAAGACCATTAGCACCCAAATAATCCTCCTGCTGCAACAGTAGAAACTGTACCACCAGCCATCTAGCAAACACTCGCTGAGCACCTCTGAGACATTAGACGCAGCGCGGGCACTGGGGATGTGCCCAGCACTGAGCGGGATGCACAGCGTTCCTGCCCTCAGAACCAATGGTCCCACTCACTGGCCCAGACTCCACTCGCGCCTTTGAAGTCACGGTGAAAGCCAAAGGCAAACCCCATGATATTCATGGGGGACTGGGTCCAGGACCCCCTCCCATAGATACCCCAACCCTACAGAACCTCAAGCCCTTCCTCTAAAGCGTATTTGCATATAACTTGGGTATGTGTATATAATGTGGGTATTTGCGTGTAATTTGGGCTTTTGCATATAACCCATGCACATCTGACCATATACCGCACATTACGTCATTTCTAGATCACTTCTAAAACCTAAAATAATGCAAATGTTATGTAAATAATTTCTATACTGTATCATTTAGGGAGTAATGACCAAAAAAAGTATCTGTATATGTTTAGTATAGGTGCAGGGTTTTTTTTGTTGTTGTTGTTTTTTGGTACTAGGGATTGAACTTGGGCCCTTGTGCTTGCAAGGCAGGCAGCAGAACCACTGAGCTAAGTCCCCAGCCCCAGATGCAGTTTTTAAAAAATATTTTTGACCAGTAGTTGGTCGAATCTTCCAGTGTAGAACCTATGGAAGCAGAGGGCTCTCTTCACCTCCCTGCCTGGCAGTACTGACCGCTGATAAAGCTCAATTTTAGGGGAAGCTGGTCTAAGATTTAACATCATCCATCTTTTTTTGGGGGGTGGTGGTGATGCTAGGCATTGAATCCAGGGAACACCGAGCTATTTCCAAGTCCTTTTTGTTATTTTATTTTGAGATAGGATCTCACTAAGTTGCCCAAGCAGGCCTCAAACTGACAATCTTTCTGCTTACCCTCCTGAGTAGCTAGGACTACAGGCATGTGCCACCACGCCCAACTTTATCCATCTTTCTATCTGTCCATGAACCAGAGTGCTAAGCAGAAGTCCCTGATTTTCCAAGTCAAATTAGGTACTTGTATTTTCAAACACAACTTCTCCCACCATAAGCTCATTTAAAAAACAAAACAAAATTATGTTTAGTTCCACCAGAGCTGCCCATATGCCTTCATTGTGATTTGTAATATCTACAAATAGTGGGGGGATGTTTTTGATATATAATGTTAAGTGAGAAATAAGGGTCTACAAAAACCGTATAAGCCAACTGGCAAAAATGTACGCACATGTGTCTGTATTATGCATGCATGTGGAAACATACAGGCGAGGACGGAGAAACAGCCACACAAAAGGTGTGTGGGAGCTGTGTACCACTGCTTCTCTTTTTAGTTCTTCTCCATATCTCAACATTTCTGAGAACATACATAAAACTAAAGTTATCTATTTTTCCTTAGAAATTCCCAGTCCTCACCACTGTACCATTACAGTGTCTTGATTTACACATGTCTACAACCACTGAGAAAGAAATCTTCAACTGAAATCTACAGGACAGTCACATAAGGATAGTCACATGCATTTGGAGAGAAGCTGTCGGTCAACCACCCAAGCCTATCACCCACAGCCAGCTACTACGAACATGCTATTTCATCATGAAATATGAGTGTTATGGACTGACGGTTGTGCTCCCCTAAATTCACATGCTGAAACCTGAATTCCCAAGGGGATGGTATAAGAAGCGAGGGCCTTTGGAAGGTGATTAGACTATGAAGGTTGATTCCTCGAAATAGGTAAAACAAACAACCCTAAATCTCTTTCTTCCAAGAGTAGATACAACAGGAAACTGCCCGCAGCATAGAAGGCCCCACCCTAGACTTGACCACACTGGCACCTGATGGCAGAGGTCCAGAACGATGACGAACAAATTCCTGTTGCTGACAAGCCACCCTCTCTCTACAGCCATCCAAATAGGCTGTGACAGAGAGAAACTCCAGGAATGAATGAGGACCACTGCCACTAAATGCTCCCCAGGGCGGCACAGCCAACTCTGCGTACTTCTTGGGGAGGGACCTGAGACTTTCAGGAGCACAGGAGCCCAGGAAAACCAAGGGGTCGCAGTGCATGCTGGGGAAGGAGAGGACCTGCACAACCGTCAAGCACTCTGGAAAGAAATGACCAGAGGCGGGAGGAGGAGCTCGCTGGTTCCCGGCCACTGCAGTGTGAAAGCATCTCAGAAGCTCCACAAGGACTTTACCTTTCAGGTTTTTCACAGATAATTTTTGATGCTTTTTTCCTTTACCGCATTTCTGTAGATTAGCCGGGAATAGATACAGTTTCACCCAAAATACTTTGTTGTTTCACTTTGGCTTGACCTTGTTGCTCTGTCATGAAATCCCCACATCTCAGATAAAACACCATTCTGGAGTCTGAGACGTGTGTGAAGTTCTCTCTTTTCCTGTTCTTCAGCCCCAGGAAGGGCAGAAAGGGGAGCTTTGTGTGGAGAGGACAAAGCTGTGACTTTTCGCCTTTCATGACGCGAGGGCGTCACCTGGAGCCGTGGCAGGTGGCTGGAGGGGCTGGCCGCTGCCCTAAATAGCGTCCTTCTTTTCTTCCTGGTATGAAAGGGCTGGAGGCCAGGGCTGACATCAATGCCTGCGCCACGCAGCACAGGAGCCCGAGATACCCATGGAACCGCTTCTCCTCTTTCTCAAGGCAGCGGCGACAAGCACCCTATCTTCATTTTCTCTCATTCTACCCGGTACACTATTCTAACAGGATTCAGCTGGGGGCTCTCTGTACAGCTGAGAAATAACATCAGAGGGGTGGGAGGAAATGAGAACACACCCCTGCTGATACTTGCTCACTGGCTCCTAAGTACCTTACTACTTACCCAGGTAGACACGACACCTGAAGTCCCTCCCTGGGGGCGGCGGACCTTCGAGAGTTCTGGGTGGTAGAGGGCAGGCAGTGCGCTAGGGGCCGAAGCACTGACTCTGACTCCTCTGCCCCCAGCCCCAAGGAAATGTAGGCCCTTCTTTATCTCAGGCCAGTTAGCCTGAGAACCAGGCAGCTTAAGCTTCATTTCAGATGCAGACAGGCACATGTTCCTGAGGGTTATCCATGCCCCGCAGGATATATGAGGAGCTGCCAGGACACCAGAGCCTTCTGGATAGCCGCCACCCATGTGGCAGCCCTGAAGCCGGCAGACACTGCTCAGAGAAACGCCGCCTCTGCGCCTGACTGTGTGCAGCCATGCTGATTCCCAGGCACCTTTGATCCTTAGTTAGTGCAGGGAGGCATCGCCTCACACAGCGCCCTGTGTGATGTAAGTGGGAAGCCCAGGGCCCTTTGTTACCCGCTCTTAGCCCACCTGCAAGTGCTTTCGATTTCTCTAAGGGCTGCCACCCAGTGATTCACTCACAAAGTATTTAACGAGAGCCTAATGTGTGCCAGGGGCTGTTTTCATTACTTTGGATACAGCTGAGGGAGCAAATATAACATGCCTGTCCTTATTGGGTTTGACCAAAGCAAAACAATATATCATGCCATGTGTGATCAGTGCTGCAATAAAGAATAAGGCAGAAGAAGGGAGAAATGGGTGCCACAGGAATAATGAGCAATATCTGAGGAAAAGCCTTCATGAGGGTGAGGCAGATGTGGGAATCTGGGGAAAAGAGGCTCCAGGTAGAAGAGGCAGTGAGTGCAAAGGCCCTGTGGCAGCAGTAAGGTTGGTGTATCCAGAAAGCAACAAAAAGACAACCCTGTGGGTGGAAACAAAGAAGGGGGCACACACTAGGGTGCCTCATATTCTGAGCTCGAATCTGTATTGGGAGACATCTCTGTCTGGCTTTCGGTGGCAGAAGCAATTACAGGGCCTCTCTGTCCCTCGGTTGGTTTGGTTTTGTTTCGATATCTCCTATGGTCTTTATAATTCCCTCATAGCCTGTTGACCATTTCTACCTGGAATTCAGAGTGTAGCTGAGGGCAAGCCTGGTCCCCAAACTTTCCTCTGCTCCCCTGGAGGGTAAGGTGGAGCTGCACAGACAAGCAGGGGCTTCTGCACCTCCACAACTGAGCCCCAGGATGAGGCTCGGGAAGAGAGAGGCTGGCTATCACAGGAGCAGCCCTCAGGAGCGGAAGCTACTGCCCCTCCCAGCTGTCCGGGAATCACTGCTGTTCCAGAAAGGGCAGAGCAGAGCCCCAGGGGTAGAAACAGAAAAATAACAGCGGGAGTAAAGGAGTGCAGGCATCAGAAAGTAAGAAAAAAACAGAATGAAGACAGGCTTCTAATGAAACAAAGCCACCAGAGGAAACAGGTGACAACTTTAAATAACCAATTAACTTGAATCTCAAGGAGATTCAAGCGTAGAATGTTGGAAAATGTGGCCTTCAGGATTTAAGATTCAATAAATGAGCTAAAGGCTTGCAGGATCACTGTTGGGACTCAGACGAGTGACCTGAAAGATGGAGATGCACCTCACATCACAGACCAAAATTACGAAGAGAAAGAAACCACAAGAGAAGGGCTGCACACTGAGAAGACAGACTCAGAAGACCAACAGGCAGATCATAAGAATCTGAAAGTGAGAGAGACAACAATTCAACAACAACAAAAGCCGCCACACCTGCCTCGCAAGCACAAGGTCCTGAGCTTGATTCCTGGTTAAAAAAAGAAAAAAAAAGAATACTTTCCTAAAGAAAGGCCTAAGTCTAAGAAAAAATGAACCCCCTCAAGTCCTAGGTAGGGTTGATGCACAAAAACACATACCCAGCTGTTTGCTGGTAGAATTTCTGAACTCAAAGACCAAAGAGAATCTTAAAACCTTCCAGCTAGGGGCAAAGAAAAAAAAACAAAAACAAAGTTAAATTCATGTGACAAAGAACAGCCTAGGGGCCGGGGATTTAGCTCAGTGGTGCTACTGCCTGCCTGGCAAGTGCAAGGTCCTGAGTTCGATCCCCGGTA